TGTGAAAGCGATAAGATTCCTCTTGATATGGAAACAAACTCGAATTTGATTGATAACACGAGGTGCAAACATGTTCCCAGTTGTAGTCTTGTCAAGATTTCTGTCTGGAATAGCATTTCGATTTATATAAGCCACAGACAACACATAACAAAATTGCTTGGCCCATTTTGCTGGCGGCAATAGAAATTAATTAATTAAAGCAAAACACAAACAAACATAAACAAATGCAAATTGTGTGCGGTAACCGCTGGCAAAATGTTTCCACAGATTTCTGTTATGCATCATTGAAGAGGCAACTGCTGAGGGCGCCTCCAAGATGCCGTCAAATAACAAATATGGCAAACAATTTGCGCGGAGACAACAAACAGCCAACGAAAAGGAAAGCAAGTTTTTAAAGCCGCATTGAAAATACACTGCGATATTTTACTATGGTTAATAATAGAGACTAAAGACGAAAGAGCAAGAAAAAAGGTAATAATTATTATTGACGAGGCAGATGATAGTAAGTCTCATTAGTAGTATTTTTCATGTGCCTTCCAAGTTTCAAGTTATTTTAACGTCTGTTAGATCATCTTGCTTATGAAATTTGTAAATTGAGTCTGGGTTGCATTTAAGTGCGAGCGAGACAAAGTCATCCGCTTAAGTTTCAATTGCCGCACTGACGCGATGGTGAGATTGAGATAAAAATAAAAGCAAGCGGGGGCGAGAAAAACACAGCGAACGACGTGTGGGAGCGTCTCCCATTGTTGCAAGTGCAAGGCAGCAAAAATCTTATTGTGTGTGATTGCTTTTATTTTTATAAAAATTCTCGACAATTTACGCCCTCCACATTCGAGTAAAGTGCGTCAACGAAAAGTATGAGGAATATATTTGAGCGATGCTCGGACACAGGGTAGCGTGGCCGAGCGGTCTAAGGCGCTGGTTTAAGGCACCAGTCTCCTCGGAGGCGTGGGTTCGAATCCCACCGCTGCCAAGTGATTGAAGTTTCTTTTTTATTAAATTAAATTTATGGAAATGTATTTAGATATTCTGTACAACATTCCGTCAAACTAGGTAATTAGTATTTGCTTTGTGCTTCCCGATTTTCTTATACTTGTAAACTAATCAGTTGCTATGGTAGTTAGATTACAACACACTCTGAGTCATTAGTGTACCTTATAAGTACATACAGCGACTTGTATATGACTATAACTTATACATATATATATATGATTTGTCGGCAGGCTTTATGTGATTCATAAGTGTTTGTCGTGTTCTCTATATCGCGTCTCACCTTGCTGGCAAATAAGGTGCCCATGTATCGTGTTTTATTAGTCATTAGCATAAATTTGGCTAGACATGGATAAAGTTTCCGTTCGTTATCAAATTATCAAGTGGAACAAGGTAACACACCGATATTGTACGCAAACTCAAATTTTATACGAGTTTAAATAAAGAGAATCTCGGACGATCGATTCTAAGCTTCAATGCATAATATAATGCAAATCTATGTTTTATTCATTAACCGTAAAATGCAATTCGTATTTATTTCAGGAAACACCAAATGGTGATTTCATAATTTATCACTTATATATAGTTTTTTTTCAGGTTACTATAGCAGTATTATCGTATCAGTGATAAGTGTTAACTAATTGCACAGCTCACGTTGAAGAAAATTTAAATACGCTATAAAAGAACTGAAAAAAAACTTCCCCCACACACATGACCAGACTTTGGCACTGCCGCACTTGACGCGTGTGAGAGGCAGCGGTGTTTGCCAGACTTAAAAAACAAATACGTTTGATCGCAAATAAAAACAATGAAACAGCTGTCCAAATCGAAGATAAAGATGAAAAAAAAGCCTTTTCGTATTCATTTTGTTGTTGTCTTCTTTTTGCTTTCTTTGTCGTACGCCCGCAGACGTCATCAAGTGTCTTGTCCTCTATTTATACACATGTTTACTCATTCGCTAAAACCTACTTCTCTCTCCCTCTCTTACTGTCTCACTTGCTCTCGCTATTGACGTGTGGGCGACATCTTTGATAAGACAACGGCAACGAAATTGCACGCGCTATAAATTTCATTGATAAACAAACTCAGAAAAGCTGAAAAAAAATAACAACAAACAGGTGCCAACATAAGAGGAAGTGGTGCATAAAGCATAGAAAAGCTACCAAAGCGCAGCACATAATAAAATAAATAAATATTTATGATCATTTTTCTGTATGTGCATACATACATGGTTATGTATGTATGTATGTACATTCAAACGTGTTTAAATGTATTAAAAGGTTATTTGTAAATATTCGCTTATATGCATAAAACAGGTTTTTTTGCGAAGAAGCTCGAATTCTGTACATGCGGCAAATGCGTAAATTCTTTTTCCCTATATTCATCTGCTGTCTCACTCCCACACACACAATAACGAATACACAGACATGCCGAACGTTCCAATCAAATCACATGCCTCTACATCAATTTTTTGTAAACGTTTTCGCAGCGTGGGATCTTTTTTGTGTATAAAAATAGACAAATGGCGGCCGGGTGGAAAATGATTGGACTTGATGGGATTCCTATTTATTGAGTTGTGCAGCGAAGCAGGTTAAAAATAATGAATAGCTTCATAAATAAGCATAAGCAATACCAAAAAGCATTGAACTTTTTACTGAAATTAACATTCCAAAATTTGTTTATTACTTCATATCAAACAATGCACGGAATCAATCCAACACGCTCAGAGAAAAGACATAAGAATCGACAAAAAATAAACTAAACAAATTAATTTATTCAAACTGCGCACGGGGCTCTCAAACCCGACATCGAAAATACAACATTTACTTTTGTATTGCTTCGGGCAAAAATTTGCGCATTTGTTTTCATCTGCTTGCGTCGGCGTTTTGGCATTTCCCTAACTTTTTAATTTTATGCATGCCATTGCCATACCTAACATTCCCATGCGAGTTATGCTCTCCCGCTTCCACTCCCTGAGCCGCACCTAACGGCGACCAACTGCACTGAGTTTGTCTTTGGTCACACAAATCCAATGGCCACACACTGCGGACAGACTGAGCACACGCACATAATAGAATATGTATGAATGTGAGTTGTAAAGTACGCACAAAGGGCATACAACGCAATTACTTGGAAGAGGCAGCATGACAAAAATACTTGACAAGGACATGAGCGTTTGTAAGGAAGGGAGAAAACGGAACAGAGGCTACGTCTGGAAATGCGCAGAGACAAAAGCGACAGAAAGGTTGTTCAGCTGTTTTGTCAAGTGCTTAACATCAGTTCACATGAATATTTAACACTTGCATTAAAGGAAGCGCACAATTTGTTTAATTGCCAGGCAAAACGTTATGAAAATTGATTTTTTTTGTTGAACAAAACAAAACAGCTAAACGCAGTCAAGCGTCAAGCAACAAATGCGCATGCAATAAACTAAATAAATATGTAAATGTTAAGTGAATAACTAACGTCGCCTTCCTGTAAAAGGCTTTGCCAACTGTCAAACTAATTAATAGTGCACCAGTGAGCAAGAGACAGGGAGAGAGAGTGAGATGCGACATAAGCAGAGAGCGCCACAAAATCAACTAACAAACAAAGACTAGTGAGACAAAAACAACAATTAAACTTGTCAAGGCAACAACAGCTGAGCATTGTTGTTGTTTTTTTTTTCTCTCTGTTTGTTATATGCGCTTGGCAGTGCCTGGCACGAATGATGACTGAGGGTGCGGGTCAAGAGGGGCACACACGTGCATTTTAGCTTTGGTCTCACCTGAATTTGCGGGTCCAGCTCGCTGTCTTCAGTATTTGACATTTTGAACTACGAGCAATTTGTTGCTTGCCAAATCCAAGTTTTTAATTTGCGACAGCCTTTTAATTTCAATTTCGTTTCACTTTTGTCGCCAGCTGCTGCTGCTCTGTTTGCGCCTTTTTCAATTAGTTTGCATTTGCATTTTCACTTGCATTTATTGGCCAGCGTAACTATGTATTTGCCTTTTGCTCTGCCTGGGGCGCACTTTATGGTAGAATTTAGTTGGGCAATAATCACGAGTGCGTCCACATGTGTGAGTGTCCGTTGCCAAGATTATGCAAATACTTTTCACATTGGGAATTTGATGAATTTAACAAAATTTAAAAATAATAATAGCATTTGTTGTACTGCGTTGTTTGTGTGATGCAAGAAAGCGAACGAAAGGGGCCGACGCGAACGGAATCTTTACTACAGGAATATATTAAAATGGATATAAATAACTGTGGAAACACAATTCTGCTATTGTTTTTTTTTTTAATTATTTAAATTTAATTTGTTTGTTATTGTTGATATAAATGCTAACACTATCTTAAAATTATTGGAGCGTCCGAACGCGGTGTAAGTGAAAAGCAGACTCAGTGTGACCGCAAATGGCTGGCACTGATATACCGCAAATGGTCGCGTTTATCGATACATATCGATATAATTAGTAATATTGTCAATCCCACTTGTAAAAATAAATATGGATAATTTCTTTTACATTAATTTAAACTGTGTAGTACATCCAAGTAAGTCTTTAATGTGTCAGCTTAAAATGAAAATTGTGGAGCGTTAGGAGCAACTCTGTTTGGATAAAACATGTTAAATGAGGAGTCATATGTAAAGTGTGGAGTAAAAGTGAGTATTACTGTTAATTAAAAAATACCATTTCAAATTCAAAATGTAAGCGCGACATTTAAAAAGCTGTTTTCTGATTCATTAAATGTTTACAGTTTTATTTGAATTCTTGAATAAAAATATGTCGATCATTTTTACTATGAAATTTTATTTTAATTGTTTTCGTTTTGTTTTGTCCATTATGTGCTTTACATGTTGTGTGATTTCTTTTGCATTTATTAATATATATATATGTATATGCATTTATGTATACGTATATGTTTATTTTTCAATTTCAATTACTAATGATATGCGCACCAAAACAAATTAACTTAGCGCAAAGAACTGCATTACAACTGAAAATTCGAATGGAAACGAAAACAATTCATTTTTCACTAAAAAATTTTTATTTAAGTAAATTATAAAGAAAGGCAATAGAAGTGTATACCACGGAATTTCTATACGTTATTTAGCATTAATGCCCGTATTTGCTTGCTTAATGTAACGCTAATATATATTTAAATATATATATAATTTTTATATTTAATATAATGCATTTTATAGTTTATATGGAATAACACTTAATTATACATTGATTTTCATATAGATTTTGCTTGTTTTGCCTTGTATTGTTTTGTATACATATTTTAAATATATATAAAACCCAAGTTTTCACTTTAAATGATGCTTAAACAACTGAATTTGTAGTTTGATTTGATTTCTAGTTGTAACAAAATTCTATGTTTTTTTAACAAAATACAAATGTTGGTTAACTTAAAGTTGCTTAGATAATTACTAAATAGTTTTTTATGCTTTTGTTGTGTGTGTTTTCTTGTTGTTGTTGTTGTTTTTGTTTGTGTGCTTTGCAGTTTATGTTTCTTTTGTATATGTCTTTCAAATTTCCTGTTGTTGCATTTCTTGTTCAGTATCAAACCTCTAAATACTTGCCATATAAATGATTTTTTTGTTTATATATTTATTAAATGTATACATATATATATATATATTTTACGCTATATATTAACTATGCAAGTGTTGCATATATGCAATTTGCGCTTACTTTTCATTATCTTCAGATATTCTTTATTGTTTGCTATCATTTTGTTAATACATTTTTAATTTCTTTTGCCGTTTTTGTGTGCTTTGTTTGTTAACATTCATAGGGAAAGTACAAAAGTATACGTGTTTCGAAAGCTTTTCTGTTTTAGTTCATCGAGAGTTACATTTAATACACACCTAAATATTGTGCTTACAAATCATAATTCAATTAATAAAACTGGCCTCGTCCAAATAAATTGTAAAACTTATACATTTACCAATTGGTATATTCATGTTACGGCGCGGCTCAGCAGCAAAACGAATAAAAGTAAATGTTTACACTTAGTTTTCAAATGTTTTGGAATGTCTGACAATTAAAAAATTATGATTATATTCCAATTTATATGGAAATTAAATGCAATGTGTAGAAAAAAATGAAAAAACTTGTTACTTTTAATAGTAACAAATAATTACAACAATTTGTTTAAGCACTAGTTCTGCCATAACATTCTATATACCAATCTTTTTTAAAGGTGCCTCCCTTTATAAAAGTGCACAACTTTTAACTTAATCAATAAAATTATAGTTAGTACTGAAATTAGAGCCTAGTATTTAAAACAAGAACTAATAATGGACGCAGACGGCAAACAAACAACGAGTGGACGTAACTATATACGATTACACAAAAAATTCAGCTACACTACGTGAATGTTTCTCGTTCACAATTGGGGCACGAGTTGTGGGAGTTCACCTTAAGGAAACTTTGCTTTCGGATTGTTTTTGTGGCTGCGGCGCGTCCTTTACTCGCTGTCAATGTTGAGGCCCACGCGCTTCTCCTCCTCCAGCATGGCGTCCAGTTCATCTGTTAAATTGGCCAACATATTGCCAATATCGTTGAGCACATTGACCGATACCTTGGGCGGCACTGTGCCGACAGCGATAGGCGCAGATGCCGCTGCAGCTGGCTCTGGCGATGCTCCGGATTCAGGCCCACTGCCTGGCCCACTGGCCAGCTCCAAGGTGGGTGAGCGCAGATGCAAGGCGCTGCTGCCGGCACTCGCTGTGCTGTTCATGCTGTCGCTGCGCGCCATTGTTGCGTCGTGCAGCGAACTGGAAGATTTCAGCGAGTGGAACGAGTGCGTTATGTTGGCAATGGTGTTCGTCGACGACGAGCTGGAACTGGAGCTGGAGGAGTGCAAGTGCGTGCCGGCCGCATGGTGTCCAGCACTAGCTCCGCCCGACTGCAGCTCTGGCCGATTAAGCAGACGCTGCTTGATGGTGCCGGTGTTCTCATTGGCGAACGGTATCGTGTCAATCGAATCAATGCTGGAGTTTGACTTATTGTCGTGATATTTCTCGCAGTGTATCTCGGCGGTTGTCTGCTGTATGGTCGCATAGTTTGCATAGATCGGTTGCTGCTGCTGCTGTGAGTTAACTCCGCCCGCCATCTGCTGCTGCTGCTGTTGCCAATGCTGCGCCGTGTGGCCATAGAACATGTGCTGCGATTGGCCCTGCTGCGGCTGCTGCTGCTGTTGGTTAGCCCCACCAGCTGCAGCCTGCTGCGAAGCGTCTACGCTCAACTGACGCGAGTTGCGTATGCTGCAGTGACGTCGCGGTGGCTCGGGCGCAATCTTCTTGCCCGTCAAGGGACTGCCACCCAGATAGGACTGCAAGAGGAAAAACGGTGTTAACATTGAACTGGGTGTCGCGTCTCAACAGATACTTACTGTTGCGCCATCAGCACCACCGGCTGTCACATACTCCGCCGCCGCCGCGGCATTCATGTAGTGATGATGTTCCAGTGGCGGCATGGTATTCAGCACGGCTCGCTGCAGTATGCCACGTTGCTGGCGTGGCAAGGTGCCGCCGCCCTCCTCGTAGAGCAGCTCGCGCGTGGCATCGTTGGTGGGTGTAATGTCGCCATCATCGTAGGAACGTCGCCAGGCCATGGCAGCGGCATTGCTGCCCAATAGACGCGCTGCCGCCGCCTGCTGCTGTTGTTGTTGTTGTTGCTGCTGCTGCTGCTGGAGCAGCTGATGATGTTGCTGCTGTTGAAGTGTGGCAGCTGCTGCCATTGCTGCTGCGGCTGCCGCTGTTGTGGGTGGCCCAAAGTGTCCATAGTCCGTGGTGGTATAGTGGCTAAAGGTCAAATGGCTGCGCGTGCTGTTGTCGTGTATGTCCTCGAGCGATTCCAGGCTCTTGCCGCGCGGCTGACGCACCTGCAATGGATAGCACAGAGTGCATTAGTTACTCGCTGGCTGACTCACAGTGGCACTTAAAGTTCAAGGACGACAGTCGTCCTACGACTGCCATTTGTCGAGCGCCCATCAACCCATCAACCCACCGACCGACCGACAAACCGCACACCCACCTTAATGAGCACCACATCGTTGCCGTTACAGCACTCGTGATTGCTGCCCGTGCAGTAGTAGGCATCCCCCCCACTGGCGGTGCTTAGACCACCGCTGTGGCCACCGCTGAGCCCGTTGGCCATGGTATTCACATTCGCGCTCGTCGCATAGATCTTCGTGTCGTCCCAGGAGACACGCGTGGTTGGCACATAAGATGGCGTACTCGGTATGGGCACATTGAATTGCCAAGGCTTGCGCTGGTATTCCTAATGGTTGCCATTAACAAAATAAATATGCAAAGAAATGAGAAATGTAACAAAATTAGAATATAAGAAATTAAAAAGAAATCTTCAAAAAGTATAATTACATTTAAATGTATCAGAACAAAAATACTATAAGTCAAAATACTACAACAAAAAAATTGTAAAAATATTGGAAAATGTAAGAAATACTTTTAAAACGTATTTTAAAGAGTCTTCAATACATATAAATATAAACTCGAAAAATTAACTGAGATATAATATTCAAAATTAACTTAGATATAATACTGAACTAGATAAAATATAATTTCTAACTAGGAATTAAATATGCATAATTTAAGTAAAAAATTACTTAAAATTGGATTTTTAACACATTACTTTTAAAGTCAACTATAGAAATCCAAATATATTAAATAAAGAAAAAAATTACAGAAAATATATAAAAAATATTATAAATTGAAATTCAGCATACGCAAGAAACAAAGAACTCAAAAACTATTCCGCTTGACGTCATTCTTAGCAGTCGCGCCCCTACTATATAAATCCCGGATCTATTTACTTATTTGTACGCCCATTTCTATATTTATTATCCCATGGCTTTTACCTGTTGCTGATAGGCATTGGTGCCGCCCGGATTCCATTTGCCGCTGATAATGTCCTTGACCCGCTTGATGGCCAGCAGTATTTTCTTTTGATGTCCCAGCTTGACAATGCCAATGTCCTCGAGATCCTCCCAAGTCACTTGGGTGACATCGCGCACCGTCTTGTAGTTCTGCTCGAGCAGCGGCTGTATGTACTCCTCCAAGCGCAACAGCTGCAGCCATTCCTCGATTGAGCCCTGTGGAAAAAGATAATTGGGAGCGATTAGTTGATGTCGATCACATTTTTTTTGAGTGTGCATGTGTATGTATGTATATCTATGTGTGTGTGTGTTGTCGGCTAATCACATTTGATTAGCAGCAACCCCTTCACACGGGCATTCAAGCTACAATTTGTCCATGAACTAATTCCAGGCCAAAGCGCTGATACCACACACCGCGTCAGTTCGATAGGTGCGGGGATTGAGGGGGGAAGTGTGGGCTGTGGAGCCGCTTCTGGTTAGAGGGTACTACTGCGAGCAGTGCGTTTTGTCTCGCTGCTGATGAGAGCTCGTCGCGGCTCTAATCAGTTGTAATTGATAAGATATGACATAAATCGCGTCAAAGCACAAACATAAAGAAACGGGTAAAAAGAGACAAACTCGTCGTCGTCGCCGTCGGCGTCGCTGCTGCTGTCAGCCATTAAACGGTAGCCAAAGTTTCCACAGACACACACAAACACACACGCAACGGCAGGCAGTCAAAAATGATCAACATCAGCATTTTGTTATACCCTGTAATCATACAGTGGCTACAGGAAATGATGAGCATTAAGCACATGTATTTATCTGAGCAACTGCATATAAATAATTACGTGTTTTAAATAATTATTGGTTTATATATGCAGCCTCCTCTCTGAACTAGAGACAGATTATGTGATCCCATTTGTTTTTCTTTAATTTCTCAGGAATTTTAAATGCTCCATTCTTGGTTTTTTATATATATTAAATTTGATATGAAACCTTTCAAAATGAAAAGTTTCATAATGATCGGCTATCGAATACCAGAGTTACCAAAGTTCTGTTGCCCATATCATAGAGAAAATGCTAGGTATCTTTAAGTATGGCAAAACGTTCTCAGTTTTCTGTCTCTGGCCCCTCTCAGACCCTTGAGCCAGAGATAGTTTGTGAAGAACTTTCTTATATATAGAAGAGTTACTAGACCTGTTGCCCTTGTTGAAGAGAAAAGCGAGGTATTTTCTAGTCGAGCAAAACGTTCTCAGTCTTCTATCGCTGCATGTTTTTCGTATGGCGTGTTAATAGCTTTTGAAGCTGTTGATTTTTTTGCTTGCCATCTAAATTGCCGTTGATTTCTATTTAATAAAAAGCGGGAATGGGAATGTTGCTGGATGCTGTTCATTCCTCTGCGATTGAAAACTGATTTTGCACAATTTGTGTAGACTTTTCAAGGGCTCTGCAATAGTGTGGACAATTAGCTTAGACGCGGCAATTATCTGTGTCCGTCTGGTTCGATTACTTGGAGAATATTAAATCAATTCTCCACTTCTGTGTTATTTGTTTTGCTCGACTTGATGTTTGTAGCCAATCTTTAATAGGATCTATTGAAATGTGTGTACAGTCTTCACTATCATAACATTGCTTAAACTTAGTTTTGAGATTATTCTAAACTATTCCCCAGATGCTGATTGATTAATGTAATTTATTAAATTTACACAAAAAAAGTTTTAAGTAAAAGTTTTAGACTATCGTCTCTCTCTCTCTCTCTCTCGCTCTCCATCTCTCACTCTCTCTCTCTCTCGCTCTCTATCTTTCATTCGTTCTCTCTCTCTCTCTAACTGTTTTCTACCTAATACAAAACTCTTCATATAAACTCTACAGAAAACTCTGTAAGCGTTGCCCAAAGTCTCCAACAACTTATTCATTAAACATATATTGTAGACATTAGCTGCACATCTGAATCGTTTTTTTTCTAATGAGCCCAGCTATACACAAAACTCTACTTATGCTAGGGTCTCCAAAAAATGATTGATTATGTATTAGCGAGCATTATCCGGAGTTGGCCATATCAAGTGTAAAACACGGCGTAGAGATCTTTGAAAATGAGAAACCGTTTGAAACCGTTTCCACATATTTTCCACAGTTGCGGATGGAATTTACCCAAAGCCCGTCTTAGCTGAGATGGGTACCTAGCTCTCATGGTCTGTGCTGTGCTTTGATCTGCAATTAGTTACTCAATCAATCAGTCAATCGTTCAGCACAAATAGTTTTACAGTTGCCCAACTCCAGATGTGTATACAACACTCTACAAATATCTGATCTGCAGAAAATAAGTTTGCTTATTTTTCGCAGCTGTATTTGCTCTTAGTCTAACTAACCCGAGCTTATATATGCATTTGTATGTGCTTCTATAAAGCTCTATACTACTCCATAATTACCAGCTAATGACAGCTGAATGCGCAATCCAAAGATGCTAATCATATTTCATATTTGTAGAGAGCATCTCGCTTGGGCACGGCACACACATGCATATACATATACATATTCCATAAAACTTTAGAAATAATATTTATTTAACGTCATTCAGACGCATACCGGAGACATACGAGCGCATATATTTTGTTTTCTAATTTGAAAACTCATTAGCAGGTAGCATATGGTATGACACCAAACAGACCCGCATACAGCAGCAGCAGAAACAGCCAGCAGCCAGTCTCAGGCAACAACAGAGATGGTCAACAGCGAAAATAAAAACTGGTTTGCTAGCAAACTGGAGGTACCAAAAAAAAAGTATATACATATGTATATGTGAATTTAATATATATTCATATACCCTTGTAGAATGTATTGTAATTTAGTCACGAAGTAGGCAACGCATGGAAGTTTAGGTTTTACATACTACTGATCAGTTGATATAACCAGGTCAACATGTCTTTTTCCATGCAGGAATTGTCAGAAAACTGTTGCAGGTTTTTTCTAACCAGCCTGATCGGATCATAATATCCGATGTCGAAAATAAAGTTATACTTTTTCACTTTTTCCTTCATATCTCTTGCAAACTTGGCATTTGAGAGGTTTACATTGATTCCCTTATCAAAATCTATCTAGCTAGATTGATCTAGCAGAAGCATCGATCTATAAATGACTTTTAATTCTTAACTTTTCTGTTTTTTCAAGATATTAAATTCTTCTAACATATCTGCAAAATCCTCTCAAATCGCGCTAGTATATCATGTTCCTACAGGACAAATTGTTCGCTATTTTTTGTATCAAAGCGCTTCTATGAAACATGTCTAGAAGGGTATTAGTTCTTCGGCGTGTCAAACGGGGCCGTTCTTTCTGGCTATATACGCATGCATGTGTGTGTATATAGTTAAACACGAGTACGCCAGGCCGAAAACTAAATACCATTTGAGTGTCTAATAACGGCAACAACAACAACAACAACAACAACAAGCACTTGGTATAAACCTCAAGGTCGTTGCTTGATTGCGGTTTTTGTTGCTGCTTTATGGAAAGGTATGAGCCGGGCCAAGAGACTGCCAACGACATATCGTTGACGATGTTTAATAACTTTTTTTTTCTCGACTCTTTGGCTCTGAGGTATTTTGCTTTATTTCCTTTTTCGCCAGATAGAAATGCCCGCGCAGCTAAAGAAAGCGCCGGTTGAGTGGAAAAAATGAGAAAATATGTTTTTTCTTCTACGTTTATAATTTTGAAAATGTCAGCTAATGAGGGTGCCCCGCACAATTTGCATGCGCGTGCAGAAAGTTTCATTCCCAGCACTAAATATCTATATATCATATATGTATATATAAAAATATATAATATGTATACCAACTATATGGGCATGATGTAAGTTGTGAGCCACACCCAAGGCGAGGTTGGCGCTCAAGATCAACGCAAGAAATAACAAAAGTCGGGCCGTACTTACTATGCGAGAGCGATAAGAGTATAACTCGACCAGAGCTAACAACTCTCAACAGCAAACGGCACAAACTTGCGAAAACAGTCACGGAGTGTTATATAAACAGCAAATAAGAAATAAAAAAGTAAATAAGAAATACAAAATAAAAGATAAAACTTCTACACAGCCAGTGAAATATTATGGCGCATATTTTTCAACTGAAAAACAAGTAAGCGAGCTCTACGGGATGCCCGACTAGGGGATACCCTGAACCTTCTTTTACCAACACCAAATGCAGCTGAAACTGAAAGATACTTGATCTGTATATATTATTCCAGATGCTAAATGTCAAATTTGGTGGCTCTAGCTCTTAAATCCAAAGAGATTCGCTCAAAGAACAGTATTTCGATATCGATATTTATCGATTGCTTGGAAAAGGGACAAGTTATCGACTATGCGCGGGCACTAGGAGGAGCTACGTTCAACATTTCGAGTCTCTAGCTCTTATAGTTTCTGAGATCGACGCGTTTTGTACATACGGACAGACAGACGAATATGGCTAGATCTACTCGGATATAGATGCTGATCAAGAATATATATGCCAAGATGCCTGTTACATATATTTGCACAAAAACATTATACCCTTTTTGCCCATTTAAAATGGGTTCAGAGTATAACAAAACCAAGCGCGAACACAATAATCTAAAATAAAAAGCTGAGGTCATTTTCGACTTGAAAAAATGCACAGCTTCAAAGCGTCACAAATCGGTCGAGATATTGGCACATGAATAAATACGCTCGGTTATTAAACAAATGGCAAAACAAAAGATCTCCAATGGCAGATAATGGAAACTGAACGAAAAACAAAAAAAAAAAAAACAAAAATGTTAACCGGAGGTTATAATTTGAAACAAGCAATTAAGAGCGAGTAACTATGGAATGCGGTTCGAATTTCAGAGCTTGAGCTCGGGCCAGAGATAGAAATAGATAGGCGATAAATGATATTTCAGTTTCAGTTGGAAACAACACATGCATTTTGTAAGCGCATTCATGCCACATGCAGGTGGGCAGGTGGGCAGCCAACAGACCACGACCCAAGTCCAGCTAAGACAGGTGGGCGGCGGGGAATGCGCGTACGAGTGCGAGTGCGAGTCTCGAGCTCGAGTTGGCTGCCGGAGAGGCTGACGAAATCAATGATTCAGACAAACTTCAAATGCAGTTAAAACTTGGGGATTATACTGTTGACGGTTGCATTGTGGTAAATGTGAATAGTATTTGTTGTATTCACAAAGGTGTCATTGAGGGCGGGGTTTAAAATGAAATACGAAAAGCCTGACTTGATCCGACTTTATAGTTGCCACTCAATATTGATTTTTCAAAAATTGTATCTAAAAAAAGTAAAGTTTATATATATAGTCGATTTAAAATGCATTACCTAATTGCTATTATTCAATAGATTCACAAATATAGGTACCATTCCTCTGTTGGTTCTTGTTTGAGCTACCACAATTTTAAAGTCGATAACTTAATAAATATCGATACTGAGAGTTTTGACGATCAGTTTTATGTCGATAGCTTAATAATGATTAATGCTATCGAATAGTTTCGACTATAAAAATAACTTGCCTTGGGGTGATTAATGGATACTAAGAGTCCGATAAATATCAACTTGAGTCGATAGTTAAATAATTATCGGTACTATCAGATCTGCGACGATCAGCTTTAAGTGCATATATTAATAATTATCGATACTAGCAGTTTAGAGGATCAGTAAAACTTGCTTGGTAATTTATTGATACTACGAGTTCGATAAATATCAATTTTTAAGTTGCTAGTTTAATAATTATCGATACTATCAAATAGTTCTGAAAATCAGTTTTAAGTGGATAGTTTAATAATTATCAATATATTCAAAGAGTTTCAACGAAAATGTTTAAGTCGATAGTTTAATAATGATCGATACTACCGAATAGCTAAGACGATCAGTTTTAAGTCAATAGTTTAATAAATATTGATGATCAGTTTTAAGTCGGTAGTCTAATCTTTATCGATACTATCGCCGATTTGATCTTAATGTTGATACTAACAATTCGATAAATATCGATAGCAACTATGTTCAGCAGTTGCTTGAAAACATATGGAGTCTAAAATCATTAAAATAAATACTCTTATATTCCTCTTTAGCAGTTCTAGTACAAAGGTAAAAGGTATGCGTACTTTCTTCCTAGTTGCTTTGTTTGGGCTTATAAAAAAGTTTATTTATGCAAGCGACACGTTTAACGATTATTGTAATTTTACTTTTGTTCAGTTACTTTAATTGTAATGCTCCGGGGTTGCTTTAAATGGGGTTTTAAGAGGGCTCGAGCACCACATTTGGTTATGAGAAACTTGTGTCGAGGGCTTGTTTTGGGTGCACGTGAAGTGCATATCGAATAGACAATCGCGTTGCACTTCGTTATGTCACGTATTATATCGGATATTGTCGCACATCAAAAATTATGTGTATAAGACAACGTCGTGCATTTTCGTGGCGGAACTCTTCTTTCAGAGCGGCCTCCGAATCACGTGATATATGTTATGTATTAGCAGTATCTGCAAGTTTTATATTTCGATAAGCTAGGTAAACTGTAAATTGATGCGTAATATATATGCGAATATCAAATTTGTAGAGATAGATAGTACAAAGATTCATTACGAAAAAGCTGTATTCGAATATTTTAGTAAAAGTATCTGGATAAAACAATTATTAATCTATCTAATATCTATTTCTATATCCACATACATATCTATATCTATATCTATATCTATATCTATATCTATATCTATATCTATATCTATATCTATATCTATATCTATATCTATATCTATATCTATATCTATATCTATATCTATAACTATATCTATATCTATATCTATATCTATATCTATATCTATATCTATATCTATATCTATATCTATATCTATATCTATATCTATATCTATATCTATATCTATATCTTTATCTATATCTATATCTATATCTATATCTATATCTATATCTATATCTATATCTATATCTATATCTATATCTATATCTATATCTACATCTATATCTATATCTATATCTAATCCATATATATATGGATTATCTATCTATATATCTATATCTATATCTATATCTATATCTATATCTATATCTATATCTATATCTATATCTATATCTATATCTATATCTATATCTATATCTATATCTATATCTATATCTATATCTATATCTATATTTTCATCTACATCTACATCTACATCTACATCTAAATCTACATCTACATCTACATCTATATCTATATCTATATCTATATCTATATCTATATCTATATCTATATCTATATCTATATCTATATCTATATCTATATCTATATCTATATCTATATCTATATCTATATCTATATCTATATCTATATCTATATCTATATCTATATCTATATCTATATCTATATCTATATCTATATCTACATCTATATCTATATCTAATCCATATATATATGGATTATCTATCTATATATCTATATCTATATCTATATCTATATCTATATCTATATCTATATCTATATGTATATCTATATCTATATCTTTATCTATATCTATATCTATATCTATATCTATATCTATATCTATATCTATATCTATATCTATATCTGTATCTATATCTAAATCTATATCTAAATCTATATCTATGTCTATATCTGTATCTTTCAGCTATTAACATCTTTTCGTTACAATTTCAATTTAACTTTAATCGACTTTGTTGTTTCTTTAGAAACTGGACCTAGAAATTAACTTAATCATCAGTTTTGGTTTAATTGTAACTTGTTATCTGGCAAGTTCACTCTTTAATCTATTAATTACACTCTCCTTATAAATCCAGTTGCAGCAATTAGTTGTAACCAAGTCGAACACGATGCACAAGCTCTTTTGATTAACTTTTTGATCTGTCGGATCAATGCTAACGATCACTTGAGACCCGGCACTCAATAAGCCCCGCCAAGCTACGAGTTAATGCTTTGACTGCTCCACAGTGCCCCCCCCCCCCTCTCTCTCTCGTCCCTCTGCACACCTGAGCTGAATGTCACCTGGAAAGGCGCCAACACGTTAAATAAATTGGCAAACTTGAGAGAACTTCACAAAGCTCGCGTTGTTTTTACATTCGCTGTCTGTTTATATAGTCGAGTGTGTTTTTTTAATGAATTGTTGATGGGAATTAATGTGCGCATATTAAACGAAATTCTTTCATTAACAATAATAATAAAATAATAAATAAAAAAAAACAGTTGGCTGACGGCGCTTTTTTATGCTATGGGGGCCGCCTCAGTCTGTGAGAAACGAGTTTTTGCAGCACGATTGCAAATGCCTTTTTAATGAAATAACATATATAAAAGATAAGCTGCACACAAAAAACACAAAAAAATAATAAACAAGCGAACGGCAGAAAGCGAACTAGTTGGAACCATCCGGCAATAGAGTTGAAAGATCTTCGTGTATGAAGATATATATGTATATATATTTATTGATATTTAAGCCGTGGGAAGCTATTAAATTACTTATTACGTTACTTGGTATATTTAGAAATCTGATCTAGTATGTTTATCTATGCGATTAGGTTAATGCCTTTCCCTTTTCTTGCCTTTTAATTGGGATAATTAAAAATGCACGAGGTTACAGACATTAGAATAAATCATTTTCAAAGCATGTCTTGAATCCAAAGCTGTTAAAATTCTTTTCTTTTTGTAAATTTAAACACATTTTACAGCGAATTGATAAAAAGCCTATCGAATTGGCCTCTGTAAAAACATTGTCAATAAACAAAGGATTATCCGAGATGCTCGAGAACGAGTTTAGTACGGATAATTGAGATATCGATTAAGATGTGCCATTCAAAAATGTTATTATCATTTTCCTTGTTTTACAAGAACATGTTAATCCCCAACCCATTTCTATACTTGCATAAATATACACGACAGTATGGGAAGCAATTCAACTAATCCTCGATTATCTGTGATGCTTGGGACTGAGCTCTTTAAGGATAATCAAAACTCATAGTTATAAGAGATTATAGACATTCAAAAGTATTATTTCATTTTTTTTTTAAATAACATCTTAAACAGCACCTATAAACACGAATGTGCTTATAGATATTCCATATAAACTCTGTTAACCGTGATTTATCCCTATTTCTCTTCACCTTACGTGTAATAAAGGTAAACGAACACACATCTTCCCGGATAATATTTGTTTCCGGTTAATAGATTTCCGGATATTTGAGTTCGACTATTTCAAGACGTATTTTCAGGTAATATTTTTTTTTTATAAAATCTCACCTAACTGACTCAAAACAAATCCTTGTCATGAGTGGGCCACTTTTATGGCAAGAGTACTTGCTAGTTGTCATGAGTATGAAGAGTATTTAATGCTTTGCGATCGTCTTGCGATCGTATTGTGCCTCCCTTGCCAAATATGTATATTCACCTTTAGTATGCCGCAATTAATGCCAATTTGACAAATTAGTGTGTGTTGACTTATGACTAGGTTGACTTTATGCAAATATCACGAGTTGTTTGCCTGATTAGATAGAAAAGCGGAACCGGTTGGGTTGGCGAGTTGCCGGGTAAGGTGGGATGGGGGATGGGGGTGAGTTCATTGTTTACTTACCGGCACAAAGTGTGGCAAATTGTCGAGCACCTGCAGCTTGTCGATGCGCTGTTTGATGCGCTCGCGATGATGCGGATTCTTGATGCCAATGGCGGTGAGATCCTCGGGCGTCATGCGCGCAATCGTTGGCAAATCGTAGCCGGCGGCTATAAAGAGCTGGGCGTACTCCTCGTATTTCATCTCGAGCAGCCAGTCAATGATTAGCTCATCGTTCCGCTGCCGGTCGACGCTGCCAATCGAGCAGGAACTGACCGAGCTGCAGCGCGGTGAGGAGAGCGGCGCCCGTATAGAAGCGCCCGACGAGGACACGCCTGTCAAATAGGAGGAGGCACGACCCGAGTCAAGGCTGGCGGTGCTATGTCGTGAGCCAGAGCCAGCCGAGCCCGACGACGAGCCCGGCGAATCGCGACCAGGCGACTGTGTCAGATCAATGCCCTGATCCTCCTGCAGCGCCAGCTGCTGATGATAGTAAACCGCCGCCTTATGGGTGAGTGGCTCGCGCAGCGTTGCGCAAAACACGGGCGGCGGGCACGCCACAATGCTGGGCGGCAGCGGAGCCTGCGCCGGGGGCTTACTGCCAGAGCTTACTACCCCGACAGTTGCTGCTCCGGCTGTCGTCTCATCCTTCATGCGCAGCGCCACGCTCGTCTCGCGCGGCAAGTTGAAGCCGCCCTCCTCCAGCGAGGGCGACGATACAATGCTGCTGCCACTCATGCTACAAATCCCATCGTCCAGTAGCTGCTGCTGCTGCTGTTGTTGTTGCTGCTGCTGTTGCTGCTGCTGTTGATGGTGTCGCAGTGGTCCGCTCAGCCTGTAGATCGGTATTAACGGCTGATGATGGCCAATGGGCGAGGCAGGCGTCGGCTGTTGATCTCCCGGTATGGTTGGCGGCTGTACCTTTTTAGCTTGTGCCGTCGATGCGTGCGGCTTCAGTGAGCGATGCATGGCGCGCTTCTGTTAGAGCTGGCCGCGCTGGCCAAATTAGCTGCGGCAACTCCTGCAAGACAAGGGGGGCAAAACAAATAAAAACTGCATTAGAAAATATCGTGGCTAACAGATGTGCAGCAGATGTATGGAGAAGGGGAAATCTGCATAATTGGGCATACATTTTCGTTGGTCTAGCTAAAAATAGGGTCACACTGTTTATGCGCACGCGGCTGCTGCCGTTGCGGCAAGTCAATAAACTGCCACAGTGCACGAGAGTTGCACAGTGGGTACAAAATGAAAAGTTACCAAGAAAGACAGTGCTTGGAGCGCAAAAATGGATAAATTAATATCTGAAAATATACATTTTTTATTTCCATTTGAAGAACAATAGTACATTTTTTTTAGGTATCGAAATGTTCAAACTGACCCACTGTGCGCCCGCAGCATCGTATTACAAATTTCATTCACCAAAGACAACTATATACAAACACTGTGGGGAGACGGTATGGGGAGAGAAGTGAAAAGACGATGTCAAAGTTCGTTGACTGTGGTGACTGTGATTTGAGGGGAAAGAGGGAGGGCGGGGCGGCTGCCAGTTGTGGCTTGTCTAGGCGCGTCGTCATAATACACTTGAAAAATGCACAGGCAGGCGGCGGCGGCAGCGCAAATCTGGCAAAAGTCACGAACAGAACTACTGCCTGGCCATGTCATTAACATTAGCGAGAACAAAGCCGCGAAATACTCGGAAGCAATAACAAGTACGAAAGTAGGTGCTTTAATATGCAGTTCTGGTGAAACAGTTAAATTCCAAAACGATTAAGAGCAGCGTTTATCGATAACATGCTAACTGAAGCAACGGCCACCTGTTCGATTAAGTACTCGATGCCCGGCCGGTCGACATGCACACAGGCACGTAAACACACTCACACATACGCACACAGACATTGCGACGGGAGTAACGAAAGAGTAAAAAAGCAGGTGCCAAATTTCATAAAGTCTGTGTGTGTGGGCGTGCAAAAAGGCGAAACGTAGCAAAAGCAGAGCAAAAGCTTAAAAAACAACACGTAAAACGGTGGCAGTAGTAAATTTCATTTACAAGCCCGTCGACGTTGTCGACTGCCTTTAATGAATTTTTATGTATGCGACGTGAAACGAAAATTAACGAAAAACTGCAGCCGAAGGCGCGGGAGAGGCAAACGCAGTCCAGAGAGTGAGCGCAATCACTAAGAGAGACAGAGAGAGCGCGCACAGAATAACGACAGGAGGCAGCGGCAGCGGCAACGGCAGCAGAGTTGTAGTAGGGTAGTATATCAAAAACTGCGAACGATACACAAATGTGGGTTGCGATTTGTTGTTGCTGTTATTGTTGTTGTCACCCACCCACACACCCCGTTCACCCAGCTGCACATTTGCAGATGTTGTTGAACCGTGCGGCCGGCTTGCATTTTGGGCTAACATTTTCTGTTTGTCTGCTTTTTTCTCCCGTTTTATTTATTTTTTGTTTCGTTTTGCGTGTTGTTTACTGCACATTTTTATGAGTACATTTCGGTGTTGCCTTTTGTTGCTTGCACATTTAATTGCAAAACATGGCACACAGGACGCCCTCTGGCGTAGATAATACAAAAACTATTGCAGTTGCTGTTGTTGTTACTGCTGCTGTTGGCTGTGGGTGTGGGTGGTGAGTAATCATAATGAGCACAACAACACTTGCCCGTGCGGATATGTGTATGTGAGTGTATGAGCATAAAAACTGATTGGAAATGCAATTGGACGCTTGGGCGGCCTTTTCCTATTAGAAACTCTGCACACAATACAAAACTATTACAAAGGGCAGCGCAGGCTGAAAGATTTATTGATTGTCGTTGTAGTCACACACACACTCACTTATCGCTGATGTATGTGTGTGTGCCATGTAGCGGAGTTGCGGTTTTGAAGTTAGCAGCAAAAATGCTGAGCAACTAAAAATAATTATGGTTGCCAGTGCTTTAAACACACACACATACATCCAACACATACGCAAGCACACACAGTGACAGGCAGGCAGACACAAATACGTATAGAACAGCACAAAGGGACCGCAAAGTTGATACGCTTCTCATTGTGGGAGTATTGAGAGTTAGTTGTAAAGTTTGAAAATTTTTTGAATGGGGCTCGATAAGAACTTATACGACATGCTCATAAATTTATAAGAATAAGTCTCATATTGCAAATATGGAGTGGGGTCATTTATACATATTTGTGGGTAATTTGGAGGGGAAAACATTTCATTTAAGTCTTTTTACAGTTTAATTATCTTTTAAATTCCGGCAATAATCAATTTTTGAACGTAGAATTCTTAACAGATTTGAATAAGTAAAAAATTAATACAATGTTTAATATAGTATTGGCAAGCTCAGACTATAAATTGATTAACTTAAAGATGTCAAAATAGCCAAAACAAATTTTATTCTAGCCCAATCGATATTTTGTATCTGATAAAATGTCCAATTAATTACCAGTTGCCTGTGTGAGTGTATCTGAAAGTCTATCAACTGTGATCGTCGCTGTGCGCCGTTAAAGTTTACTGGCATGAGTAATCAGCCAAATGGAGCGCAATAAAATGGCAACGGCAACACGGCCAATCTATCAGGCCAGGCACCACATCAACTAAGTTGATGTTGCCCAGCCACCCCCGATAAAAACGACCCCCACTGCCAGACCACACCAACCCACTGCAGTGCCCAGATTCATATGGCACACTGGCAATGGGACCTGGACCTCAAATAGGCAAGGGGCGGCGGCTGAAATCAAATGAAGCGAGTCTCATTCTCATGTTTATTAACGGTGCTTAACTGGGATCTATGTATGTGTAAGTGTCTCTCTCTCTCTGTATGTACGTGTGTGTGTGGGTGTCATTAAGCACGCTAGATAAAGGGACCGCCCAGGCAACACTTCATTAATAGCGCGACTTATTGACAACGGCTCTTCGTTCACCCCGTAGAGATGTAATATAAAACAGGGGTGAACAGCTTTGATTAAAGTCTTTACCTTTTCTAAGATTAAACTAATTCGATTTACCAGATCTGTGAGCTGCTTTATAGTTATAGTATAGTTTTAATTTACAATGCATGTTAGTCTTTCGTTACAATTGTTTACAGGGTATCTCGTGGGCTTATCAATGGTTGTTTAACTTTTGTTGCGGGTGCTTTGCATATGTCATGAAACGCTTTTCCATGCTTTCCCTAAAATGCAAAGCTGATAAAAAGTTTTTGGGTGCATTTTTCTTGCATTTCTTTTTTTGGTCGGTTTGCCACGCCCCACTGTGTGAGTCTAGGTTTTCGTGTACTTTGTGCATTGTTGGTAGCATGTTTTGTCAGCAGCATCAGCAACAGCAGCAACAGCTACAACCACAACAACAAAGTAAGATGGTGTCGCTGCCTGTCGATAACTGGAGATGTTGATCTTGCAAGAAGCAAAGCAGAGGAGAGGACAGCAAAAGCAACAACAATGGCCGCAGGCAGCATAAACTTGTTTTGCCTGTAAAGGGAGTTGTTGCCGATGTTGTTATTGTTGTTGCTGTTGTTGTAGTTGTAGTTGTAGTTGTTATTGCATTGTCTTGCGTTTTGTTTCAGGTTTCATCTGGCAACGCCAAGAACGGAGCAAACAAGAGCCCATAAAAAGCTCGTAGGAGTAAAATGCAACACACAACGAAGATGTGTCAAATGTGTGGGCGAGAGGGGGAAGAGTGTGGGGGGGCAGACGAGCAGCAACACACATATGTACGTGCAGTTAACGGTTAATGCAAAACGAATGCGTAGCGCATATGGCACCAGACAGGCAGACAGAAGAAGAGTCCGACAGACGGACGGACAGACAGACAGACAGACCAAATAAGGCTGTCAGCACGTACGTCGAGAGCAGCAAAGCTCCAAAAGCGGCCATCAATTCTGCTTTTTGGTCAAAAAACGCGAACAAGTTGTAAAGCGAGCAATGCGAACAAAGCAACAGCAACAACAACAACAGATGTAAAAGCAGGAGCAGGAGGTGGAGTGTGCAGAAAGCATTTACAGCTACATTGAACTTTTTAGTACCTAACCACTTGCCACCCACTTGCAAAGTGCGTTTACTACTACGCACACACACACACTTCCACACACACATATACATACATGCATACACACAGCTACACAGCCTAATGCTGAATATTTGCAACAACTGTGGCTAAAATATGTAAATTACCATTTGAAAACGTTGATTTTCGGAGCAACCTTAATGGGAAACACAAAAGCTCAATTTAAATGAGCATTAATTATATATTTTGCATAAATTGCAATTGATTTTGTAGCACAAAAACGCGTCGGAAAATTCTGTGCAAATTTCTTTTGCGCGCACACACACACACACAAGTAACACTAACACCGACACACACAAAACAAGTAAAGCATACGAAAAGGCAGCGCAAAAAACTTGCCGCTGCTGCGGCTGCTGCTGAAAGAAACGAAGAACTAGCCGAAAAAAAGGTGGAGCGTGCACGAGCCGACGGCGACCGCAAGTCAAAGCGTATTGAAAACGCGGCTCAAGTTCGAGTCCGAGCCAGAGTCCTCCTGCTGTACATTTCCAAAGGTTTACTGAAAGAGAGCGAATTGAGAGAGAGAGCGAGAGCGAGCGAGCTGGAGTGCGCGCAATTTACCGCACTCGAAACTCTTCTCAATTTTGTTTTTGCTGCCAGCGGCATAGACACAGGCAAGCCAATTTGTTGCAATTGAAACAATAACAATTGCATGGCAATTTATTGTTGCTGGCAAATTAGTTAATAAATGCAACAGGGGCAGCCGCTTTGATTATAGGCGTGTGCATGCAACCTCCCCACAGTGTAGAGCAGCAAGGAGCAGGAGCCTGAGAGAAATGCATTCATTTCATGTCGTACAATGCAAGCACAGTGGACAAAATCACATTTCAAAACAGAACGGAAACCTGTCCAAGCTAAACCTTATGAATATTTACGACCTAACATTGTTATTTTTCGTTTTCCCCAGATTGGTGCGATAAGAGTTAGAGGTCAGTCCATTGAGGCGGGAAAAACTTTAATGATTGTAAGTCATTTGCATTCAATCGTGTTTAGCATGGGAAGTTGTAAAACTGGGCCCATATCATTAAAATAACTCATATTCAAGGGTAAGTAAGAAGCAAAAATAAAAGCATTTATATAAACATTTGTTCCACTTTTGTGATTTTTTTTTTTTTATTTACAATTTTCTACCGACTATGATTCATCTGTGAACAGATGTCCTGATGTAAAAGGAGTACCTATCACTATAATTATATATGTAATTAATTTTTGAAGAGTTAGGACAAAACGAAGTATTTTGGTGTAGGGTTCAAAATATTTTTATTATAATTTCATCAGTCAGTTTACCAAATAAAAATTAATTATTCTCTTTGTCAAATTAAACAGAAATTTTATGTACTATGAACATATTTATTGACATATTTCTTGGTCTGCTTGCTTAACTTATAATTAATTGCAGTTGTCCCACTGTGCGATGTATGCCACAAAGCACATTCAAACCAACATGCACACACACACAGAAATTCAGACGCAGGCTAGTCAACCACTTCGCTTGCCGCATAAGCCAATAAGAGCCAAAGAGAGCGAGCGACGGGTGAGAGAGAACGAGAGAGCGAGCACGCGCTCCAAACGGGCTTAACACAAAAACTTCAAAAAGGCTCCAACTTTATTAAATGGCCTGCGCACGCTCTTATTCTCTCGCTCTCTGTTTCTGTCTTTGTCATCTACGCGCGCTCTCGCTAAACGAAATGGCATCGACGCTCGCTAAGCTGCCACTTTACTCCCCCCGCCCACTGAACCCTGCCTACATCAACGACAATTCTAACACTTCATTGGAGCCGTTTGCGTTGCGTTGCGTTACGTTGCGACGGCAACGACGCGTCGTCAAGTCATTTGATTCCCACACAAATCTCTGCATATTGAGCGAACGCGAGAGTCGCTCCCCATTATGGCAAGTGAGTTATGAGCCTGTGTCAGTGTGTGTGTGTATGCGAGTGTTTGTACTGCGCTTTCTATTGATTTATATGTATGAGCTTTATGGCGCAATTTGAGTGCTTTGCAACGAGTACAAAGCTCATCAAGAAGAAGAGATGAAGTAAACGCGTTTTGAATTTACAAGTGCTGCCAAAGACAATGCGTAGATGACAGCCTAACATTTAATTGCGGACGAGAGCGTTTTGTTAACAAACGGGCGCTGGGAATAAATTATGGTAAGCATCAGCTCAGCTAGAGTTGCCGCAGCGCCATTGTTGTCTGCAGCACGCGTCAGCATCGGCGCTCAAGCAGAACGCTGCTGCCGCCGACACTGACACGTGTTGGTTTATTATTTACATAAGCAGATGCAGTCGCAGCCGCTGTCGTTGCCGCAGCTGCATATTGTTTCGAAACAAAAACCCATTTCCTGCAGATGCCCTGGCCACTCTTAACAAAGGAGCCGAACAGCTGGTAGCGCCCTGTACACACAAATGGAGAAGAAGAAGAACCACACAAAATGACAGATGGCTACGTCAGCGCCGACGCCGGCAGAAGGACACGAATGTCAAAACAAAAACATTTCGAGCGCGATTGCGGCCGCCTTCAAACTACTCACCTGTTAAAATGTATGGAAAAGTGATTTTCCACAGTTTACTCGTCGTTTCAATTTCCAAAAAGTAACGACATAAAGCGAGGTAATCACATTAAAAAACAACCGCGACGAAAGTTGACACACAAAAGTAAACAAATGTAAAACTGTAACAGGGCATTAATTATTGTATTTGTTGCTGTTGTTGCCTGCACGTTTTATGGTATTTTCTACAAGCACTCTCTCACCCAGGCACACACACAGACACGCACACAAATGTACAGATACAAATGGCGCGCGCGCGACTCATAAAAGTAAAACATAAAACCAGATTAATTTTTTGTGCAGCCAAAAAGAGTTTACTAAGCTGCGCTGCTTGCGTAGTTGGCACCGCGTTGTTGTCGCTGGTTTTTATTGTTTGCTACGCCGCCATTTTCTTTGTTGTGAACTTGTTGTTTTAATTGCTCTTGTGCTCGCTGTCTGGCGCTCTCAATTTATTAAAATATTTGTGCAATTAAATATAAACATTTATTAATTTTTGCCAGATTCTATTAATTTATGCGTTTTTTTATCACTCGTCTGAGTCGCGCGACAAAGCGACGCAAACCACCCGAACCGTTTAGCAGGAAAACAAAAACATAACTGAGTGTGACTGCAGATTTAAAGAGGCGAAATACTAAATCAGTAACGATACTTATCGAAACAAAAATACCATATTGTAGTATTTCTTATAATGTGGTTATAGGGAAAGAACTAAAAACATATTCAATTGTTTTTAATTAAAAATTTGCTGTATTTCCAGATTCTGAAAAACCCGGCTTGAAAAATGTATGAAGTGAAACAAATAAATTCATAAAGGGAAAATTTTTAATACATGATCTAAAAATGTATTTTTGAATGGCAGCTGAAAGAAATGCAGTCTGCAGAAAAAGTACAGTCGTTTTTACTCACGAATTATATAAAAAAAAGAAAATAAATCACGAATTAATAGAGGGAATATGACTAATGGTCTAAGGAACATCGATTCAATCGATATCACGATTGGGTGGAATTTAATCATCGATGGCACAATTTCTGGCATCGATAAATATTTAAATTTATCTAGTGTCATCTTTGGTTTTCAGTATAAAACAGCGCAATTTGTTAGCCACAGGCAGCCACACTTGTTGCATTTGTAAAAAATGTTACAATTATTTAAACAAAATTGATGGCTAACAATACCAATTAAAGTGCGTGCGCTTATTTCGATAACTTAATTATGTGTGGCTTTTTAGTTAACTGCAATTAAGGTTTCTGTTTCTTTGCGTGCCGTGTTTCGTTTGCATTAGTATTTTCTCTGCGTGTGTGTTGTGTGTGTGTGTGTGAGAGTGCGCTTATTACTATTGCCTTGTGCGGCATTTTTGGTTAAACAAATTACCACGACTAACAGAAGTAAGCATAATGAGGTGAAATTAAGTAAATCGACAGTTTATTGTCTTGCAAAAATTCAACTGCAAATAGAAATTCAAGAAAAAGCGGCAACACAGCCCAGATTTTAAATGCAAATGAGCAAAGAGAAGAAAAGAAGAAAAAAAATACAGGTTGTCGCTGCTACGCTTTGGCATTTGTTGGCTTGGCTTGGCTCTCGCTGCGCTGCTGCCGTTGTTGCTGTTGTTGTTGTCGTCTTGGCTGCCTTTTTAGTTGGTCAATGCACGGCGCTAATTAAAGCAATATAAATACTCGTTGTTTGTGGGCCGTGGGCCGTGTTTGCGCAATAAGTACACTTAACATTGTTGCTGTTGTTGAGCTTTGCGTTCTAATTTTCGTTGTGGCTTCTTTTGCATTACTCTCAGCAGTGGGCGTTACGCCTTTTAACATTTGCTGCCGCAATTGATGCTATGATTCATGCTATTGCAATGTTAGTTGCCAGCAAGAATTCGGCTGTGCGTTTGAATGGCAACAACAACGGACACCTGTGGCATGTTGTTTATGCTCGCGAACTTTAACCGGTGTGGGGCAAAAAATTTTGACAGCTGCGTGGCGCATCCTAAAATGTGATTTGAATTGAAAAAGCTCGAATGAGAGAAAGGTGCTTTTCATCTCAAGCTTTTGTGCGTGCTGCATCTCTTGCGGGGGGATGCGAAAGGGAGAAAACACTGTTACGGCAAGCAATGTTAAAGCATAGCTTAACAGCGCTGTTAGGTCAAGCAACAGAATGTTAAGTTGCAATAAGAAATAAAGACAATCTATAAATCTAATTATGATAAATATTATTAATTGGCTTAGTTTTTATTTAAAGCCCTAAATGTGTTAATTCATTTTTGATTTATCGTTTATTTTCTTGCAGTTCGTTATAATTTCTGTGATTCTTGTGCATGTTTAAATACAACTTTAAGAAAAAATAAATAAATTCTCAATAAATATCAACGACAATAACTCCGTTTGCAACACGCCTCCGTCTCAATCGTCGTTTTGTACGTTTCCGTCCCAATGCAGAAAATGCCCTCGCAAATTTTAAACGATGGAAGTGGCGCTGGCAGCTTGAACAATGCGGCCTCGTTGCTGGGCGCCTCGCCCAATTGCATTACAGTGAAGACTGCCTACAATGGTCAGATCATAATCACGACCATCAATAAGAATATCACGTACGAGGAACTGTGCTATGAGATACGCAACATTTGCCGCTTTCCCATCGATCAGGTGACTTCAAGCATATCTTTAGATCTTTGTATCTTTATTGAATGTGTTTACTTTCTCTTACAGCCCTTCACCATCAAGTGGGTCGATGAGGAGAACGACCCGTGCACCATATCCACCAACATGGAACTGGATGAAGCCATACGATTGTATGAGATGAATTACGACTCCCAGCTGGTTATTCATGGTAAGTCGAAAGTCTTTTCTTATCGCGATATATATATATATATATATATTTATATCATTTTCTATGCTGTAAGTGCTTTATTTGATGTTTACGATGTTATCGAGTTGGCGATAAGCATTTTTTTTTTGTATCCCATGTCACTTTGAGGAGGAAAAACCAATTAATGTGTCACCGCGGTTAATGTGGGTTGTTCTTCAATGTCATAAAGAAAAGCCAGGATTGGGGCCCTGACTGTATAATGTATAATAAATTATGAAGCACTTAACGTATTTTATGTTCATAAACAATTGAATTTGTATCTACTTCTTGAGACTTTTTGTAATATCGAGGAGTTACAAAAGATCAAAAAGATATAGCATACGAATCGACGATTAATTTGAGAGAACAACAAATAGTGGCTGATTAGACAAACTATTTAAATCGGGAAAACTTTTTAAAGTGGGAACAATGTAAATGTTATTGTTGAAATGTTTGTAACAGGAGTAGGAAGTATCTCCGCCCCTTGAAAGTATATATTCTTGCATAGCATCAATAGCCGAGTCGATCTAGTCATGTCCGTCTCTCTGTCCGACCGGCCGTAACTATGAACGAGTCAATCTCAGAACGTATACGAGCTAGAGACTTGAAACCTTGAATGTAGGTTCTTCTAGTGCTCGCGACGTATATAATATTATATATTCCGCTATTCGATAACTTACCCCGTTTCCAAGCAATCGATAAAAATTGATATCGAAATCCCGTCTCTCAGTAAATCTTTTAGGTTTTACAAGCTAGAGTCACAAAATTTGACATGTATCTTCTAGAATAGTAAAAATAGATCAACTATCTTTCACTTTATATATGTTGTTGGTAAAAGAAGATGAAGGGTATCTACTAGTCGCGTATTTCGGACTAGAGCACTCTTACTTGTTTAAATACACTTTTTTTGCAAATAAATACTGTAGTGCTACATTAAGAATTTCAGTGAAAGTTCACATTCAAAACAAATCTGAAATTATATTTGCAAATTAAAGTGCTTTCAATATTTGATTAAATTTAATTTTTCAATTATTTAAATTTTTAGTAAAATATATTGAATATGTTTGAGGTTTTCTTTATCTAAAGTAATGTATTGAAAAATCCAATGAAAGCGCCTAGGTTTTGACTTCCTTTCTATAAATTAAGAGTTTCACTCTGTTTTTAAAAAAACTCCTCGAGAATTTATAATACCTTCTAAATTAGGTATCCAAAATTATGTCACACAAGTGAGATTGCTTTCAGATTGTCTAGAGGTGAAATGATAATACCATAAGTTCTTCGTTCCTTAATGGATCCCAATTTAAAGGATTCTATGAATTATTATGCGATAAAGCAGCAAACATAGAGTTGAGTGAGATAAGATTTAAGATTAATATACATATTTTGTATTAATCAAATCAAAGCAAAGTAAAGCCCAATGTTGCTAGAGATTGGGCACAGTTGATGGCAAACACAAATCGTTAATTAAGAAGTAAATTTATTGTTTGCTTATCCAGACATTCCGTTTGGGTTGTGGCTCAGCTGAAAAGGGATACGTTTCAATGTTGCAAAAGGATTCCATGAGTTGGGCCATTTACATGACACGCACACATGCGCATTTGAACACATTTGTTTTGTGTTGTGCACAACTATGCGAAAGTTTTTAATTTTGACAAATTTCATTATCAACGTTTTTCGCTCATTTGTGGCTGTTGCAAAGGGCGCACAGCACGGCGCAGGGCGGGGCGGGGTCGGGGTCGGGGCCGGGCTGGACTTGGCCGTTTGGGGCTTTCAGATGTAGCACAATTTAACCGCAATTTTGTGCACATTTCAGCCTGGCTAAACAATATGCCGTTCGTTGCTTTATTAGCCCAATAAACGGTGCCTGGCGTTGCCTTTTGGCAAACACCCGGCGTTCCCGGGAGGCCTTGCAGCCCAAATCCAAACAGCAGTCGACCATGTTAATAACATAAAATATTAATTAACTTGTGCAGGCATATTACAACACACACACACACACACACACACACACACACACGTACGTACAGATACATATATACACTCGCCTACAGGCTAAACGTTTCGCCCCGCGCCCCTAAGTAGACTCCGGTTTTTGGTAACTCACTCGTTTTTCCGCTGTTGTTCTTACAGTTTTTTTTGTGTGTGTGTTTTTTTTTTGTTCTGCTCAGCTCATATCTGCCCTTTGACCCGATTGCTGCTGCCGGCTTCGTTTATAATTCATTATAATTAAATTGTTTGCTGCCAGCTTGGTTAGCCTGCTTTTCAAAAATTAAATTTTTGTGCGGCTTATTCTGCTGCTTTGGCATTGCAGGCACGCCTGGGAGTATGCCTCGCACACACACACACACATACACACACACACACCAACACACTCACACGCACACACATTCGGACTCTTCTGCCATCTGTTTAGTTAACTGTCTGTGCTTAATTATCCTTGCCACAAAAAGTTTTTGGCTTTCGCCCCATTCGAAATTTGCCTAATGACAAAAACAAAATGTTTCGACAACAACAATAAATAACTGTAAAACACGTAAAACAACGAAATGAGAACAACACCAGAATTTTATAATGTTTTGTGGTCCAAATTAACATTTAAGGGTAGAGTAATTTCTTACAATATGTGGAAAGGCTTAAAAACGGATATAGCATATTTTCCTTAGATTCGAAAAGACATTTTTTGAGTAACAAATAAAAAAGAATGAATGTTAATTTTATTTTATTCTTCTTAAATTTAAAAGGAAA